TCACTTGCATCTCCATCTTTAATGTATAAAGATTTTTAAAGCAATCAGTAATGTTTGATCTGCTATTCTAGACATGTTGAGACTGCTGTAAAAATGTATGTTTTTCCTCTGAACAGAAGCCAGTCATATATTATTACAAAACTACATTATTAGAAGTACTTAAGACAGTTTCAAAACTATACCATTGATTCTACATAAGAAGGCAAGAAATACTGCCAGCATGCATCGCTGGGAACAAGTATTTTTAATACAAGACGTAAGAATAAAGTGCTTAACCTCCAGTTACTGAAAAATTTTAATACACAGCCAACAATACACTATTGTTTAAGCTTTCATTCTGAAAGAAAAGTCAATAAATGAAAAAAAATTACCAGTTTGACTGGTGTAAATGGTAAAAGTTTTGGCCAAAATCTTTCCTTGTTTTACTTCAGCATCTTCATCATCCTCTTCAGATGAGGAGCTAAACTGGTCTTCAACCAGCTTTTTTGCTGCAGCCTGATTAGCCTTCTTAATTTCATCAAATTTCTTCTGTGAAGATAGTTCTATTAAGAGAACAGATTAATATCATTACAGTTACTCATAACACCACATTCAGGTCTACATACTTTCAACTGTCCTTTTCTTTAAGGAGTTTGATAATTTTATGCTTTTAAGGGCACTGTGTTGCTACATTTGCAATACCACATAAGAAGAGATAAACTGTATTTTCTTCTTTAATGTGCATTATCCATAAAATTCACAGGAGGAACTATTATCTGTCAATTACTGCTGACAAATCCAACCAGGCAGACTAGAACATACTCATCTATAATGCTGCTTTATGAAAGGGATATTTTAAAAAACCCACAACACACACCTCACACAGACACAACTTTCATAGCATGAGGAAGAAAAAAAAAAACTGATAAAAACAAACAAACCCCCACAAACAAACACACATAAAAAAAAGGCCCCAGGCAATTCTTGACAAGTGCAATTGTTATAATTTGCCTACAGGTGCCTCTCCCAGCATTTGGGATTTTTTAAATTAATACTTTTATTGATCTCCCTCCACCCAACAACTCTAATGTAATACTGGGTTCACAGTACTTCACAGATGGAAACACTGAACAAGACGGGGTATTACCAGCTTTTGTTGAAGGTATTGCATGTGAAATAGAGAAAGATTCTCAGATGAAAAAAAAAAAAAGTAATTTAGCAGAGCTCATAATAAAACAAAGTGCCTTTAAGATAACATATCACAGAGACATAAAGGTCTTCAGCACATCACAGGACTCCTAGTTTTCCATATTAGACTACTGCGCCCAATATATTTACTGGGGTTGCGTCAAACCTAGTTTTAGGGCTTTCCTTAAGAACTTGTGATGCCACTTAAAAGAGCTCACTCTTTGGCACTTCTCCACCTGCAAAATATTAGGTTGCACCCGCAGCACGCCCATGCACAGGGCAGCCCGCACCGTGTCACTCTGACCAGAGTACCTCAAGCTTGTCCCTAGTGGGCAGCACTCTCTCGAGTCTTTTCAACGGCACTGAAGAACAGCTGGTCCATTACTTTAGGCTTCTTCAGCTTGGAGGGTTCTAACCCTGCACCCAAGGAGGACACAGCCCCGCGCCGCTGCCCGGGCCCCGCGTTTCCCCCAGTGGTGCCCACAGGCAGTGGCGGCACATAGCGAGCACCATGGCTCGCTACCGCCCAGCGGCAAGGAGACGCGCCGGGCCCGCCGGCCACACAAGCGTCCACCGCCCGCCTTCCCTCCACTCGACGTCGGGGAGAGCCCCGACCTGGGCATTCGCGGGGGCTCCCCGAGGCCCGGCTGCGCTACGGACCACAGCCGGCTCCCCAGTCCGGCGCCCTGCAGCCCCCGAACGGACACGGCTAAGGGGGAGAACATGACACTCACCGCTGGCCGCCTCACCGCTACACCCCGCGGCCGTAGCGCAGGCACCGCCGCGGGCCCTGGCAGCCGGGGACCGGGCAGCTGCCCCTCCACGGGCAGCGAGCCCTTCTCCGGGCCTGCCACGGCCGCGGCCCCGGCCGCCCTGGCGCCAGGGCGCCTCCATCTTTCCCCCGCCAGCGACCGAGGAACGGCGGAGGGAGGCCGAGCCCTCCTCACGCCCACGGCTGAAGCCGACCCAGGGCGAGCTCTGCACGCCAGCCCCTCCGTCAGGGTGGGGCAACGAAGACGGCACAGCCTCGGTGAGCTCCGCGGCACCGCGACTACAGCTCCCAGCGTGCACCGCGCGGCGGGGGCGAAAGGACTCCAACACCCAGTGTGCAGCGGGGCACAGGCGACCCCAGTCTTTACTGAGACGGAGCTCGAAGTCACCTGAGGGGATGGCTGTACCGGCGTGACCGGTAGCCGGTAGGTTTGAGACAGTGCACGGGCTGCGGGCCTCTATTACCTGATGCTTGGGTTTCTTTTTGCCTGCTTCTTTGGCCACAGAAGTAATGGGTCCAGACGTCTGTCACTGAATTGTTAGGTTGGAAAAGACCTTGAAGATCATCGAGTCCAACCAGTAACCCAGCATTGCTAAGTCCACCACTAAGCCATGTCCCTAAGCACATCTGTATAATCTTTTAAACATCTCCAGGGGTGGTGACTCCACCACCTCCGTGGACAGCATGTTCCAATGCCTGAGAACCCTTCTGGTGAAGAATTTATCCCAATACCCTGTATAAGCTGCCCCTGGCACGACTTCAGCCCATTTCATAGAATCATAGAATAGTTAGGGTTGGAAAGGACCTTAAGACCATCAAGTTCCAACCCCCGTGCCATGGCCAGGGACACATCACACTAAATCGTGTCGCCCAAGGCTCTATCCAACGTGGCCTTGAACACCGCCAGGGATGGAGCATTTCCTCTTGTCCCATCGCTTGTTGCCTGGGAGAAGTCTCTGGCACACAGCTCACTACAACCTCCTTCCAGGTAGTTGTAGAGAGCAGAAACCAGTCCCGTGAGCCTCCTTGTATCCAGAGTAAATTTCTGGCAGCTATGTCTGTAGGGTGCAGCTCTTGCACATGTTTTCTTCATAGCCCTTCTTCTGAGCATGTGAGTTAAATATCAGCCACAAAGACTGTTTAGAAACCTCACTGAACCATATCTAGGTTTTACTACACAAAAATACATACTGAGGTACCTGTGTTCTTCCTGAAGAGATATGACAAGTAGGGGCCAGCTGAAATATTTTAAATTTTATAAAACATAAATATTTATAACACTTATATAGTACTTACAGCACTTCTGTTATGCCTTGTGCCAGAAGGAACTTCATTTAGCAGGGTTTGGGGGGAGAGGAGAGAGTTGGTGGTGTGCGGGTTTTTTTTTCAGCAAATATGTGTTTATACAAGTGAAATAATAACAGATTTCCAATCATAAAGTGTCTGAAAATAGTAAGTAAACTACTGGAGCTCACTTCTGGTTTTTGCTTTTATTTTGTAGTGTTTAGACTTGTTTTTATTCCCAGGAAAGGGGCAGCTAGTGACTGCAACTCATGTTAGACTGAAGTATCAATAAAAGAAAAAAATATGAACAATAGATCTCTGCCTTTATTAGTTAAAACTTATCACACATTTCTCTAATACAAAGTCTTAAACTTCAACAAAGGAGAAAAGTGCTTCCTAAGTGCTTAGTGAAATATGACACAGCCCTACAGGATGCTGCTGCCATAGAAATTGCAAATTATATTCAAGACCTGAATTAGAAGAATGCTTATTGCAAACTCCAACATTCACAATATAGTTAAATGCCAGCATAACAATTGTTCTTGTGTGCAAAGGTAGAGTCTTTAATGAAACGATGGCAAAGAATTCATTGTACAAAGATCCAATTTATAATATCTCCATCTTATTAAGGAGAAGAATGAAAGTATAACAATATTATCAAGAATAGTGTACTTATATATAATAGTAACATTTACATATATATTTATAAAGAGTGGAAATACAATTGCCCAGGATAACCAAATTGCCCTAAATACAGAATTATCCCTTGAAATCCCTTTCTTCACTCCCTGTCATCAAACTTCTCCAACATTAAGTGGCTATGATCATAGTCTACTGAAAATGCCCAGCTGAGACCACAACTAATAAAGCCAATTTTTGCCAATGAAAAAACACATAAATTAGGGGAAAAAAATCCAAGGAGATAATGCTTTTAAAGCAGTTGAAAATCTATCTGACAAATGAAACAATATATTTTACTATGTTAGTAGTAGTTATGAAGAAAGAAATACCCTATCAAGCAATGAAAAAAATAATCTATTTAGTCATGTTCTTCCTCCCCCCCCCCATCTACAGAAGATGCCATAGGGAGAGTTTGGCCTCTGTCTGTTATGTCTGCTCCTTGCACTCTGTCAGTGTCCACAACTGCTACACTAGGGACATAAACATTTTTAAGCACAGATCTTAAAAACTTGATAGTCCATGTTCAGCAGTCATATGATTACATGGAGCAGAACAGTCTTCAAGACTATGGATTTGTTATTATTGTGGAAAGAACAGCTAGATTTTGAGTCATCCATATTTTTCAGAACGATGCTCACAAGAAGTTGTGTTTTCTCCATTCTCTGTTTCAGCCTTTGCTGGAACAAATTGCTGGAACAAATTGCTGGAACAATTTAAATTTAATTTAAAACTTCCCACTTACATTTCAAGAAATCAGCCAAGGTGGACCCAATGAAATAATAATATTTTCCAAATCTTACAGCCTTCAGTACTCATATATCCCATACTTAATTCATCTTATGTTAATCTATACATATTAAAATGTATTTGTTTATACACAAATTTAATATCATGGTTCATGCCTATATTGACTTCAAACAATATAATTGTAAGCAAACTTCCTTCTTTTGATAAGTAGACATAAAGAAATTATTTTAAAATAGTCAGCAAAACTTTTAATATTTACAGGATATTACTGTACATAGATTGAATGCATTTGCTATAGGACAGTTACATAAAGAGTAAGTAACACATTAGCAAATAATACCACCTGTTTCTGCAAGACCAAAGTGTTACCTTACATTCTTGTTCTCAATTCTTCATTTTCTTCTCAAAACCTGCCAAATAAGTGCTGTTTGTAGGAAATTAGTGACATTACCTCAAAAAATATTTTTCCTAATTAACAGTCAGATCCTATAAAGATTAGAAATGAACGTATTCAGCCCCATGCAGGACTTGACCCTAAGTCTTATTGGCAACTTTCAGTGGTTTATTCTGCTTTTGACAATCCAGGCTTCTCTGTGGATGCATCTGCTTCTTGCAGATCCAAGTCTGCAAATTCTTGCTCTATAACTGGCTTCAATATTTTCTCGATTTGTGTAAGTCTTTTTTTCAGTTTCTGTTGTGCAGCGTCATACTCAGCCAACAACCTGGCAAACTTTGTTTGTAACCTGTCCATTGCTCCTTCCATGTAGGTGACTTTCTCTTCCAGATCTTTAGGATCACTTCCTAAGTTTGCAACTTCAATGTCCAGCAACCCATCTTTCATTAGGATTTGCTTTCCTTTTTCTTCCAGCATAGCCTTCGCATCTGGGTACTCTGTTAAAGCCTCCATGAGGTCGTCTTTAGACAGACAAAACAAGTCAGAGTATCCGATACTTTTAATATTGGCTGTTCTTCGATTGCCAGCTTTGCTACCTTTGATATTAAGAATGCTGATTTCTCCAAAATAGCTGCCATCACTTAGGACCACAAATTGTGTAATTCCATCATCAGCAACTACTGCCAGCTTGCCTTCTTTGATAATGTACATCTCTCGTCCAATATCTCCTTTTCTGCAAATGTAATCTCCAGGACTGTATACCTGTGGCTGGAGTTTCAAAACCAGTTCAACCAACAGACCAGCTTCACAGTCTGCAAAAATACGAACTTTTTTCAGTGTTTCCAGGTGAACATTGATTGCAATCTCTGCTCTTAATTTATCTGGCAGATACTTCAAGACTTCCCTTTCATCCACAGCCTTCTTGTTTGTCCACAGGTAGTCAAACCACTTTATAACTCTTTTTTCCATGTCTTTACTCACATTCCGAAAGTGCATATACTGCTTGATAGCATCAATCCTTGCTTGAAACTCTGCTCTAGCAGCATTCATGTTGGAGATCATGGAGCCCACGTTACCAACAATTGTAGCAAAAATCAATACTCCAACCAAGAAGTCGACGACCACAAAGAAATACTCAGAATCTCTTACAGGAGGGGGTGTTTCACCGATAGTAGTCAGGGTCAGTGTTGACCAGTAGAGACTGTAGACATACTTTCTAATGAGACGGGCAAATTCAGGGTCAGAGGTGTTGGGGTAGACCCATGTGTCAGCCCCAAATCCAATGGCTTTTGAGATTGAGTAGTACACACAGGCATTCCAGTGAATAATAATCACAATGTACATGACAAGGTTAGAGATCCTGAAGATATTTGGGTAGTTTGTCCTTGTTTCTGTTCGCTGGAAGAATTCAAACATCCGAGCTACTCTGAGTAGCCTGTTTATTCTCAATTCTGGGTAATTCAGTCCTAACTTAAAGTATAAGAGATCAGTTGGTATGATTGACAGAAAATCTAATTTGAATTGAAAAGATGCCTTATATTTCTCTCGAAGCTTTTGTTCTTCTTTCACCAGAAGACCTTGCTCCAGGTAACCTAAAATCAAATTGTAAATAATGAAAAATGTTACAACTTCAACTGTATTGTGTTTAATGTCAATCCAAATATACTTCAAAAAATATTTTAAGTGCAAATTCCAGATGGTACATAACTTCTCTGACTTAATAAACAATTTCTTATTTCAAAAAATCCGACTTTGTTCAGTATGGTTTGACTTCAGCTAAATTATTGTTTTGAAAATTAAACATTTCTAGCACTGATTTTTTTCCCTCCACTTTTCTATTATGGTGAACATCTGAAAAAGAAAAAAAACAACCCTCAAAAAAACTCCACAGGGAAAGAATTTGAACATGGGAATTCCAGTTCCATATTTAGTTTATCTGCTTAGTAGCTCTGGAGGTAGAATAAGATTTTAAAAGAAGCAGTTGCATCTGAAGCAACCTGGATGTCTTGTTTGCACAGTGGTCTTGAAAATCAAGAAAACATTTGAATCTCCTTAAATACAGAATCCAGATATAGGTGCTAGTTCTTCAGAACCCTTGATTTTCACTTGGCCACATCACATGTTAATTTTGTCTTGCTGAGGCAGCTGCAGGTAGAACAGCTTGTATCTAGCTTACCTCATGCCTAGCTTACCTCAGGCTTTATGTATATGTCAGTTTCTCCTATTTTTACAGGTCACAGATTACAGTCTTTCAGAGATCTCTCTCAGTATCTTTTTTACTATCACACCTCCTCAAGGATACCCAGGTAATAAGGGTAGTAGTATTCTAAATATTTGAATCCACTTGGCATAAATATGTGAAGAGGAATAATTAATCATTGAGTATACTTACCTGTTCTTGTCCGTACAAACATGTCAGCAATATAGATGACATCAGAAACATAGTCAATAATAAACCATACCACTAAGTAGTCATGCTGAAGCTCATCAAAACAGGCTCTGAAGAGGAAAAGACAAAATTAAATTACCATGAAATGAAAATTAAATATTTGCATGAAGTCATTAATAAGTAAAATATTTCTTATTCTATTTAGGGACAATACAATTTGCCAGAAGTTTTATGCAGTCATTAAAACAGTACATCACCTAGCAATAATCATGGTCCAGTTGTACATGACAGGCATTGTGATGCAAAACAACCAATTGTAATACATATTTCCTGCTGGATCAATAATGAAAATCTCTTTCTTCTCCCTAAGTGATAGTCAGGAAAAAAAAAAAAACAAAACAAAAAACAAAGAAAAGGAGATGTAATGAGGGATGTAAAATACACATAACAATTTCTGAGGAATGAAGTATTCCAGAAATTGTTATTTTAAAATAAACAGTCTTTATTAAAGTTAAGCTTCCTTGCTTGAATACATGGAGAACATGAAGCTGCTTGTTAGGTGTGACTTAGGATACAAGTTTTAGAATCTAGATTTTGCTGAGCAAAATCATCTTGGCAATCCCACTTCAGTTTACAGTGGCACATGTAATTTCAATCTTTTAAAGTTACTTGTAATGGTTTCCTACCCAGTTAACTATCTTATCTGATAATTGACTTAATCATATTTCAAAAAAATAAAAGGATTATGTGGCTACTACTCATGTTTAAAGAAGTGAGAAAAATCATGACTTTCTCTTTGGGAAAAGTCTAGCTCTGAGAGAGATGAAACATTGGCATAGTTTACATAAAGAAACCAAAGAACATGAAATCATACAACTAAAGTTCCTACTGCATTATTTTAAGTTTCTCTTCCTTGGCGAGAAAATTTTGAATTCACCAAACAGAAGATAAGGCAAGAATTTACTTGATGTAGGTACCCTTATGTGTGGAAGAGATTGCTTTACACTGGCACACCTTTTGCTTCAGGGTGTTATCCAAAGAATATTTGATAATCACAATACAAGAATTTTCTTGACTTTTTTTTTCAGACCAATTCCACACGTGCATATTTCTGTTGTCCAAATGAAGTTAAATCAAAACAGATCTACTCTAGGGAGAGCAGGAGTCTGAACGCTCATTCACAAGCACAGGATGTCCATGAATGGATTTGATTTTACATAAAAAGCGATTTTGTTAGACTAACAGCAGGACTTGAATGAAAAATACTTACTCTTCTTTATTTTCTTTGTTCTTGGACTTATCTTTATTTTTGTTTTTCTCCTTTTTGTCCTTGTTCTTTTTTGTTTCTCCATCCTTTTTTCTTTCTGACTTGCTAAGAAATAGATTTACATTTTCAGTTGTTACAGACTAAGTTAAAATGTATTTGGAAAGAGATTAAATATCTTAGAAATAGTAGCAGTATTAGTCTTTGTCTTACCTCTTCTTTTCTTTTTTTTTTTTCTTCTCCTCCCTAAGGAAAAGAAAAATATGATAGGGTCATGGGATGCACATACCTCTTGCTTCCAGATTTGAGTCATCTGAATTCAGTAAGGATAACATTATACTCAGTGTTTGGCCTTCAGAACTGTTTTGCTTACTGTACTCATGTAGCATTACTTTTATTTTAAATTAGTAGATGTAATACCAATAACTTTAGTATTGAGAATGATCATCATAATTGATGTGTATGAAGTTAAAATGTACGTGCAATCTCTTTTGGGATTAGTTAAACGTCATAACTTTACAAAGACCTTATTAAACATATGTCAATCCCCTTCATTGCTGCTTAAACAAACAATATTGCAGTACTCTCATTTTATGAAATGGCAAAGATACTTACTCGCCTTTATTACTATTGTTGTTAATATTGTACTGTGCAAATGCACTGGGTAGATACCATTGCCTGGGGAATAGCAAAACAACAGAGTTACATGATATCTGCTGAAATACAAAGAAAACCAAAAATATTTAATCAATATTGTCACAGACTGTTTCTCACCATTTTAATCATGGGCTAAGGTATCTAAGGAAATTGCAAGAGCCCAGATTTTAATCTCCTAAATATTTACAGTAAATAACATATCATAATCTTAACAACTTTATTAGAGGGTAAAAAAAATTAGATGATGGCAAGTGCCTGTGCTTAGTTAATCCTATTCAAATTATCACAGAATAAAACCCAGACACAAAACAGTACATTTAACATACCTGTTTTCCCTTTTGTCTGTCGGTTTAGGATCCTCACTGGTGTCTTGCACTACCACACTGGGAACAATTGAATGGGAGTAATGGGTCTCAATCACTCCTACCCTCATGGTGAAGTTTGTCTTACCTTGGGTAATTGAAGAAGACTGATTAAAAAAAAAAGAATCAAGTAATTTCAGAACTATCACAAGTAACAAGCAATGTTTTTCCTATAGATGAATCCTTTATATCCTTTCTTCCCCTAAACCCAGCGACAGTATTTTCAGTTTCCTTTCTCCCATAACATTCCCAAAAGACAAGAAAGGGCACTGTGTGCTTCAGTGTGTTGAAGCACAGGCAGCTACTGCTAAAGAGAATGTAAAACACATCTTTCTCTTAGAGGAACCATTCATTTAAGTCTTTCTCTTTAGTCTGAACATATAGTTTGAAAATATTTAGACAACTGTGTTTGAAACATCTACTGCCATTTCATTTGGTTTTGAACCAAAAGTTGAACACCGTATCAAGATGGATAAACAGATTAATGCAGAGATGATATCCTGAAAACCAGACTAGGAAACATCCACTGATTTTATGTCCAAAGAAATGTCAGGATATCTGATACCTGACATCTGTACTCTGTTGAGAGCAAAGAGTACTTTCTGTAAGTAGAAAGTTGACTTGTGTAGTAGAGTCTCCTTACTCATAAACCATATAGTATATAAATACATAAATAGAAATGCTAGTGGCTGTTCATGTCTGTTTTGTTCATCTCAGTATTCAAAACTGAAAATATATGGAGTACATAACTAATGTAGTACATTCTAATGCACAGTCTTTCTATTACTAGAGTAATTAACTTCTGCTCTCCCTTTTGGTACTATTCTTACAATTTTGTCAGTTATACCTTCTCGTCAATGAGACTGTCAACTCTGCAGGTATGAATCGTGTCAACAAGTGTGATCTGCTTTTGACAGGGCAATTTTGATGGAATTATGAAACAGATGCTATCCATGGTAGTAACAATATCCCTGTGCATGTGAAATCAGAGTATAGGGATGTATGTAAGCTACAAACTGTCAAATGAGTGGCTGTACCACTGATAAGTGAAGTCAAATGCCATAGAATGAATCAACCTTAAAGGAGGCACTTACATTCTGTGGTCAAGCATACTGCAAAAGAGAAGCAGGATGTTACAGCTGCCATATTACTGCCAGAGTTACCTGACTTTTCCTTATTAGTCAATGAAATAAAAAATATTCCTCTACAGGAATAGGAGAGGAAAACCCATGTTCCCAGCAGTCATGCAGCAGCCATCGGTTATGAATGGTGGATGCCCCCACCCTGGAAGTGTTCAAGGCCACATTGGATGGGACTTTAAGTGGAAGGTGTCTCTCCCCATGGCAGGGAGTTGGAACTAGATGATATTTAAGGTCCCTTTCAACCCAAACCGTTCTATGATTCTATGATAATATACAACATTCTACAAAACAGAAAGATAAAGATTGAAGATTAAGATGTGTTTTTCCACAAATAGCTCTAAATGCACTCCAGAATTGCTGCTCAGTCTTTAAATGCTTAAGAGCAAGGAGCAGGTTTAAGATGTTGAATAAAAAGATTCTAAGACATAGTGAACATTAGGCTAGATTCACCATGAGCCTAAAAGCTGTTAACAGGGTTCCCACAGACTTACACCAAGGATAAATTGTGTTTGAAAGTGTGGAGACTTAAAGTATGCCAGGTTGAATTAAGCAGCTTTAAATCTGCTTACAGGTGTTCTGAAAGCTTCGCTAATGCTGGCACACAAAATTCCATCTTGCTTTAAGCTATATCCTCCACAGAGCCACGCTGAAGTCTGCAGAGCTCACAAATAATGGTGCAAAATAAAGCTGTGTCCAGCCACTTCCAGTCAATCAGCACCAGACAAATGTAAACATATTCGCCTCAAGGGAAATCATTCCTCCAACAGAGTAGGCTCTAAACCAGTCAGCTCACATTAGGACTCCCAGTGCCATTATTTCTATATAGGCACTCATTTTTCATGCTTATCTTTGCTCTTTGAATCTTCTTTAGTTTCAAGAGGAAAAAGAAAAAAAAAAAAGTCTTTGACTTTGTGCTATCCAGACACAGTGATCTGCAGATGTACCAGAGATTAAAGATGATGAAAAGTATGGTAAAACAGGACATGTCCACAAATCCACACACATCCAGAGTGTGTAGCCGGGAGGCTGAGGAAAAATCTTTATCCTCTACATTTTCCTGTTCTTCAGGCAAAGAGGATTTTTCTGTACCTTTTTGCAAATAAACAGATTCCCCCCACCTCCATTAGTGTCTGTTGTAAGTGAAAGCGCAGTGAGGTGCTTTGTGTTCTGCTGATGGAGCTGTGGAAGCCATCTTTGCAGCTGTCCTTGTAGAACTTGCTGGGAAAGATGAGATGCCATCTGGGGCAAGACTGGAAAATTCATCTTACTGAGGCACTTGAAGCATCAAATGAAACTGGAAGTATTTACTACCCTGTGGGTCTCAAAATACTAAATTTTAATGTCAGGCTCAGGTGACTGCTGCACTGGGCTGTTTCCCTCGTCAGTGAGTCAGGATATGTAGCACAAGAATATCTTCGAATTCCATGAGTCTCAAAGCAAACTGTGGAGGGTTTAGAAATTCTTGAGTCTAAGACACAAAAATGTTAATGTGGCATGTGCCTGATGCAACATACACAGTATTTGCTGATGGTTTGGGGACTGCGGTTACCTTGTTACAGCCTCTGTGTGACAAAATCCTGACACTGAGAACAATACAAAATGTCCTGTTAAACTCAGTGGGTCCAGAACTCACCTTAATGCATTTTTAAATTGTATTATAGGGGGTTTTCAAACAGTATTCAGATGCTTTTTACTAAATTGGGTCACTACCATATTTCCTATTCTGCAGTCACACATATTTTTCTTAAACTGATACATTGCAACAAATTGTTATACAGCTTTTATTGTAGTAGTCCAATGTTTATTTTCACATTATCGAATTTAGGTAGTAAGTTTGAAAGGTAGTAAAAATAAATGCCTGCTTTAGAGGTATTTTAGATTTTTACCATATTGTTTTTACTGTATCATCGCAGTAAAAACTTCCTTTTACCATCTTGGATTTTTAAATGTGACTGCTATGATAAACAACTGAGTTTTCCAACATTATGACCTAAACCCTAACTATATTCATTACTACATATCAAAATCATTAGGGGTGCAAGAAAAGGTAAGCAGTATTAATCTTTTACAGTATTGTAGTGAATGGAAGATTGGTTTCCATCTCTTCCTCTCTTTTATTTTAGCTATTTCTCACATTCTTACTGTCCCATCATATTTACTTCTCTGGTCATTATATCTGGAGAGAAAATGCTTTAAATAAGGATATCCAAGAACAGAATTTTGTACCATATAAAGAACTATGGTTTTCTTCACAAAAAGCAGCAAAAAATCTTAATTAACATTAAAATCTGCAGTGTGCTACAGCAAAATCTCTCTTCCTAACATGCAAAGAGTCCTTAGCAGTTCTACAATAAGCAGTTCCATCAGTGTGCATGCTTACCTTGGGAATGTAATCTGTTGCTTCTAACAGCAATTTCAGTCCTTTAAATCAGCCAGGTTTCCTTACTACATAAGCAGAGCCACCACGAAAAGCTAAATATAATCAACATTTCATAAATAAATCCCTTATTGATGGATTTCTCAAGCAGCCAGTCCCATGTGCAGTTCTCTCAATTATTCCAAGGAAGGACATGGCTGTTAGAGGAAGATTTCCTCAACCTAGTGATGGATTTTGAGATTTAGAGAGAGATGAAAGTGACAGTGGCAGACAGTATTATCCCTCACTGGAGCAGAAGCTTACTAGCCCTATCAGCAGGCACAAAAAGTGACAAATAATGAAACATACTCTGTGCTAGACTATCTTAAACGGTATTAAAAAATACTGCTATACTGTATTAACAGTATTAAAAAATAATAAAAAAATAAATATTGTTGTAAATTACTGTATATTAAGTATTGTCTGCTGGACCATTTTCTTAATATTGCAGATGCTTTTTTACAGTAGTAACAGGTCTTTACTAGAATTGATAAAACAACATAAATGGGAATTTTCTGTTTATTTTAATTTATTTATCATATTGATGAATAATAGGAAATACCATTTTAAACTACTGGAAGTTCTTAAGTAATTTAACATAACTTTTACATTACCATTTTTGCTGTTTTAAAAAGCCCATGAATTGTGAATATGTATTTAGTGGAAAATGCCATGATGATGAAGTTTTAAGACACTGAACTAATCTTGGTATGGATTACGACTTTGCAAAATGGTTTGCAAAGTAGCTGCAGTCCTCCTGCATTAGAAATGTGCAAGGGTTCATCTGTCTGGCCACACTGTCAAAAAAGCCACCAAGAGGATCCCAGCGTATTGAGAAAGGAATTTGCATACCTCAGCATTCACTTCTGGATACGTAAGAATAAAGAAAATTGATCTCTCAGGAGCTTGAGTGACTGATTTTTTAATCTGGCATGTTTTACATGGCCCATTTGGGGAAATTGGGGAAAAAAACCCAAACAAACAACAAAAAATTGCTGAGGGTGAAATCCAGTAACCAAGAATTTTAAGCATCAAAAGGAGTGAATGTTCAAATTTGAAATTGTATTTTTGTCACAACTGAGGCACAGCTAAAATTACTGAAGTGTTTTTTTAACTTTGCTTCACAACAGGCAGAATCCAGGAAAGCAGTCCAGTCCTTGGAATCCAAGGATCAAGACATGTTTGTTTCAGTAACCAAAAGCAATGCCATTAGCATTCATATGAACCAACTTCAGTCTTGCAGTCCAGGTGCCTGGTGGTTATTCATAAGTGGATTGACACATGGATTTAATCACAAACCCAAAGTGATGTTCAGTATCACAGGTCAGCCTTCTAACCATAGAAACAAAGTAGACATATCTGCTGCTATGACTTTCCAATCATGAAGATAGTTCGTTTTCTACACATTTGAATACACATTTGAAACATAAAGAATAAAAAATATTTAAAAAATGCCAGTAATGGGCAATGAGGAAATGCATTACATTGTGCCCAGTGGAAGCCAGGTATACAAATGTACCAAAAAGGTAT